TGCAAACTTGAAGGGTGTTCCTTAGTCACTCTGGTTCAAAGAGAAAGCTTTCTTGTGACTTCTGTTACTTCCCACTTGGTAAAAGAACACAAAGAAATCAATTATGAAGGTAGAAGGGGTTTAGATTAAGTTTTAATAGTTCGCTTACTTTACTAGCTTATATTTATGGCTTGAATTTATAATGCCTTGTAGATTATGAATCTAATACTATCCTTTGATGGAGTGATACAGGTGAGGTCACTGTATGATTTTTTTTTCGTTGACAACATGGTAACTAAGTACCATTCTGGTAGAACAGAAGTGGTTTTTTGTGCTGTTTCTTTCTTTAACAAAGAATTCTATTGTAAGGCTAAAATTATATTATGTGTATGTATACATATATAATATAGTCTATGTGGAGGGGGTATTGTGCATTAGGAAGGGCAGAGAACAATTTAGGGGAGTTAGTTCCTTCAAGTCTTTGTCAGCATATGCTATTTCACTTTCTCTCTCTCTCTCTCTCTCTCTCTCTCTCTCTCTCTCTCTCTTGTTCTGATAAATTTTTATATTGGTAAATTTGTATATTTTCTGAGTTTTGATACTATTGTATAAAGATGTTAGTTTTTAAATTTTTCTGATTGTTCATTGCTAGTATAGAAATCTGTCTGATTCCTATATTGATCTTGTATCCTGGAACTTTAATAAACTCACTAGTTTGCGTATTTTACAGATTACTTAAAATTTCTGCATTGTTTGTTTATGTTGTCAATAAAAATAACATCTTTTTCCAAACTGGACAGCTTTAAAATTTTTGCTATTATACTTTATTTTATGCATGCATATGTGTGTGTGAGTTGCACATGCCATGGTACTCATGTGGAGGTCAGAGGACATCTTTGTGGAGTTAATTCTCTCATCCCTTTATGTGGATGCTAGAGTCACCAGGGTTGTTTCATTGAGCCGTCTTATTGGGTCACAAATACACTTAAGTAATTAAATGATGTTTTTCTTGCTTTCTTTGTACTGTCAAGAATTTTTCCATTTGGTCTGGTGGCACACACCTTTAATCCTAGCACTTGGGAGGCAGAGGCAGAGGCAGAGGCAGAGGCAGGTGGATCTCTGTGAGTTTGTGGCCAGCCTGGTGTAAAAAAAGAGTTCCAGGACAGCCAGAGCTGTTACACAGAGAAACCTTGCCTTGATAACACCCTTTTCCAAACAAAAAGAAAAAGAGGATTTTCTGTATGATAATGAATAGAAATAAAGTAGTAGATATTTTTAGTTTTGGTCTTGACCCTTAGGCTGTGTTTCTTATAATTTAAAATTTAACTTAGGCCAAGTCTATTGGCAGTAAGAGTACAAAGTCAAGTCCCATCTAGGCTAATAAGTGTAAGTTCCAGATCATTTTGGAAAAGTTTATGAGAACTGATTTCAAGAAAAAGCAAACAAGGGTGGAAAAAAATGGAAGAAGAGCTGGGAGTTTAGCTTGTCTAGTATCCCCAAGACCCTAGGGATCATACTAAGTACTACATAAAATAAAGTGAATGAAAAGACTAAGAAAAAAAGAATGTTACAGGTTTTTCATAGTTGTTTTTTGTTAGACTAAATAAATTTCTATAACTTATTTTGCTGAATTTTTATTTAAAACAATGTTTTGTGGTGCTTAGGATCAAGCCAAGATCAAGCTGGGAAACGCATAGTCACTGAGACATTACTGTGGTTGCTGAGAATTTTTATGATGAATGCATGTTAGATTTCTCAAATGCTTTTTATGTCTCTGAGATGATCATACAATTCATGGTTTTAAAATTTTAATTTCGTGTGTGTGTGTGTGTGTGTGTGTGTATGTGTGTGTATATTATATGCATGTGAGTGTGCAAGTATGCAGCACACGTGGAGTCCAGAACCTGTCATCAGGGCTTTCCTTTATTGCCTCATGATAGTCTCTCATGGAACTGAACACTTGCCTTTTTAGCTAACAAGCTACTGGGGACTGTTTGCTTCTGCCTGTTTCTCCAAGTCCTGGGTTGCAGCAGTGGCAGCCATATGTGCTTGCTGGGAATTCAAACTTAGGGTCTTGTGCTTACAGACAGAGCAAGCACTCTTACGCAGAGTCCCCATAGGTTCTTCCCCAATTTCCAGAGATTTACCTTTGAAAGTTTAATTAGCTTTATATTCTAAGGGTGAAGATTACTTATTCAGATAACGTTGCAGTTACCTTCTTAAGAATTTTTAAGCTTACTTATGAGATATTTTCTATAGTTTTTGTAGCTTGCAGTGATTTTGTGTTTGAAACAGTATAATATGATGGATTGAGAACTCTTATTTCTAAGAGTTTTTTTGCCTTGATATTTCTTGGCCTGTAGTAGAATTTATCAGTTATGTCTTGTATTTAGGTAAGGTTTCATTTGTAAGGTTGTATTAAAATGTTTAATATCTATTACACACACACACACACACACACACACACACACACACACACACACAAAACGAAAAAATAAAATGTATGCCCTGGCAGTGCTGAAGTATGTATGGGCAGCCCGTATATGGTGGTTCTGTTGAACTTGTTCATATTGACTTTCATGGTCTAAGTTGATGAGGATGAGTGACCAGGTCTCTTCCTCTAGAGGGCACCAGATCACATTACAGATGGTTGTGACCCACCATGTGGTTGCTGTTGGGAATTGGACATAGGACCTTTGGAAGAGCAGGTAGTGCTCTTAACTGCTGAGCCATCTCTCATTCATACATACATACATATATACATACACACATATATACACACAAACATATATATTGTATACAATACACATGCACACACATATATGAAGTCAGAATATAGAGTCCAGAATATGAACACAGATGGTCAGCTGACTTTTGAGAGTAATGCAAAAACAGTTTAGGGGGCAGGGAAAATCTTGTCAAAATTTAGAATAGCCAGATTATTATTATTGACCAAAATGAATCTATTATTTTACTTTATAAAAAATAAAGCAAAAATAAATCTACTTCTATGCGTATAGTAGGTTTAAATATAAGAACCCAAATGGTAAAATCTGTAGTTATAAAAATAGAAAATCTGTGGTCCCAAGGCCTAGTCAGAAATTTTTTGAATTGGCCATAAGCCAGTAGGAATTGTAAGAGGGAAATTTAGCAATAAATTGTACTTCATGAAAATACAAAACACACACACAGTTCATGAATGATTTACAATAGTAACATTTGAAGTTTAAGAGCATCAGTCATCAGTAAAATATTGTTAATCCATAGTAAGCTTATATGTCGTAGCGATTGGCCTGGATAAAATATAAAAGACTGATGATAGTAAACTTGTAAAAATCTGGCAGTCTCACATTGCTGGTAGAGATCAGAAATGGCACAATCTCTCCACACTATACTTTAGAACTAGTGTCTTATGAAGCTGCGTATGCACTGCCACATGATATTGTGATGGACTCCTAAGTATTTCCTCAAGTTGAATGAAAATGGGTGGTCATACAAAGACTCAGAATGTTCATGATATCATCCTCCCACAAGAGCTACAAACTTGAGCCTACTTAGGTGATTAGGTGGATTTATAGTAGTTGTCTTCATGAAAAGCAATGAGCTCTTAATGCATGGAGCTCTATGGGGGAGTCATCAAAATATGGCGAGGGAAAGAATCCAGATAGGAATCTGTATTGTATAATTCATACCGTATGAAAAGAATCTAATCTATAATGACAGAGCCGGTAAGTGGGATCCTCGGGCTAGAGGTTGGAGCTATTTAAAGTCTCCGAGAAATTTCTTGATCGTAGTGATACTTATGCAGGTGTGGTGTCAGGGGTATATTTTACTACAGTGAGCGAAGCTTTTCCCTCTAGTATTTATCAAACCTGACTGTACTTCAGTATCATCTACTAAGCTTTTCAAATGCACCTACCTCTGCTCCACCATATACAACAAATCAGCTACTAGCAAGAGGCCAGCTTCTTTGAACTTGTAAAAGTTCCCACAGTGCTTTTAGTTCTCATCTGGAGTTTGTAAACAATGTTTTCTTTATATTACTTTTCCTTTTTAAGTCTCCGAGACCTTAAGCTATTTTACCAGGTTGTGAGAATAAAGAGCTCTCCTATAACTTGCCGTCTGGGAAAATGATAGGCACTGATTAACGGTATAAGCATTATTTGTAGATTCAAGCAGGTGCAGTAGGAACGCAAGGTAGAAGTTCATTTTGCTGCAGATCAGTTCAGGGAAGTTTGTTTTTCTGGAAATATTGACTATTGTTCAGATAATACACACTAAAATGGCTCATTTGAGAAACATCTTTCATGCTGCACTTTCTCAAAGTATTTTTCTTCTCATTTGTATCGTTGTATTTTAAAAATCAAGGAATCTCAATTTTTCAGTGACAATATTGAAATATTTTTGTGTCTCTCAGAGTCTTAGTCTGTTACTATCAGTCATTTATATTCTACATATTTTATTACAAAAACAAAACAAAAACCTTAAAATGACAGTTGTTCTAGTTGCGCTTGGGGAAGCATATAATAGTAAAGGAGTTATTAGTGGTGCTGTGTCTGACATGATTGTTATGTGGTTGCAATACTAATTCTGTTTATTAATAGTGAATATGTGAGATGGAAATTTTGTCCTTCTATATGTTTAGGAAATTCAAAGTTAACTTTAAGCACTTTCAGCTCCAGGGTTTCTCAGACTCTGTAGCATGTTCTGCTCTGACTCTTTAAGATGGATCTGTAGGATACAGAGATTTCAGTTTGACCATTTAGCCTCTTTTCCATTTGCCTCTAAGTTCCATGGACAGGCATCTAATCAGGTAAATAAATTTTCAGTAGCACTGAAGATATCATATGGCATATTTTAAAGATGATGATTTGTAGAAAGAATTTATATATGATTTCTGTATTTATAAATAGTAAATCCATATTTTACATTTATGTCATAAATTTAGAAGTAATTATTCTCCATTTTTGCATCTTTCACTGGTAAGTGAAAGTGAAATTTCCTATTCTCTTCTATTTCAGAGCAGAGTAGAAGAGATGACTTAGAAGCTTTAGGACATATGTTCATGTACTTCCTGAGAGGCAGTCTTCCTTGGCAAGGCTTAAAGGTAATTACTTTTTGTGTTTCTTTATTGGAATTCATAAAATCTTAATGTGTATTAAGACCTTCTGTTACAACTAAATAGTTTTTAAAACACCACATTCTTGCACTCCTCTTTTCACTTTAGGCTGACACATTAAAAGAGAGGTATCAGAAAATTGGCGACACGAAACGAGCTACACCAATAGAAGTGTTGTGTGAAAATTTCCCAGGTAATGGACGATGATAAACTTCACGAATTGAAATGTGCTTATGCATAGAAGAAGGCTAGTTTTCATTGCTTAAATTTCTAAGTACTTTTTTGTATACATTGAAAAACATGAACACTCTAGAAATGTGATGTAAAAGTTGTCAACAATTACTGCATAGATCACAGAAAGTTTGTATATTTGTTCCACAAGATGACATTATATGAAAAAAATTCCATCTTTTAATTAACTGAAGACTTACTAAAGCCATGTTTTCTTCAATGATTCATTCTTAATAAGTTGAAATACATGCTGAAGAATATGTGATACCATTTAGTGCACTGTTAGTTGTTTGAATCTAAATGTCAAATTTGTTAAAAATATTATTTATATTTTTAGAGTACTATAAAATCTTACTGATTTTACTAATTTTAGTGAAATTTTATATTAGTGTATACATTTTGAAATAATTCTCCTCTAAGCATTTTTGGCAACTCAGAAGCAAAAATAAGGTCTTTTAGTCCTAAGTTAAAAAATGTTTTGTTAATTAAAATTGTATGTTTGAGATACAAGTTTGTTGAGTAACCCTGGCCTGTCTGTTGCCTTGCTTTTTTCCCTGGTCTGGCCTGGGACTTGCTGCCTTCCTGCTTCAGCCTCCTATGTGGCCTGTACCACAAAGCTTAGCTGTTGGTAGTTACTAAATATCTGATGTGGTGTACATTGCAACATGAATTATAAAGAAGATTAACTCATTCAAGATGGAGGTCTTTTATCATTTTGTATTCATGGCTCTTCTGTGTAATGGTAGCATAATCATAAAGTCAGTGTTCTCAAAGAAATAGCATATGTTTCCTTATTCACTGCCAGTAAACTTTATTTTCTCTCTCGATGTAACTTTTATAAATGGAAGATTAAGCAATATTGGTGGCAGACCTAGAAGTTTAGGTCTAGATAGATTGAGTGACTGTATTATGAAGCGTGTAAGCAATTTTCCAAGAAAAAATGGAGGTACCAAGAGGATTAACCCTGTAATTACACAGCAAGTGAAATAACGAGAAAGTCTCTCTTTGAGGAAAGTCATCAGGGCACTATGTTACACTGTGAATAGTGGGATCAGAGGAGCAGCGAAATCTTCATGTCTGAGATTTCAGCACTGGTAACCTACTGTTTCTTTGTATAATGTTGGGATACTCTTTTTTTTTTTAAAGCTAGTTAACAACTTTACCCAGATTTTTGTTTTTCTTTACTTTTAAAATTATAAAACTTAAAAGCTGAATGGTAGTGGCGCACACCTTTAATCCTAGCACTCGGGAGGCAGAAGCAAGCAGATCTCTGTGAGTTTGAGGCCAGCCAGGTCTACAAGAGCTAGTTCCAGGACAGGCTCCAAGCTACAAGAGAAACCCTCTCCCAAAAAAGCAAACTAAAATAAATAAATTATATCTATATATATAAAATGTGGCATAGAAATTTATTACCCAACTAATTGTTTGATTAGAAATTAAAAGAAGTCTCTTATTGTGTTCTTGCATCAGATTTTTTTTGAGATGCTTTTGCTTGTTTTGCCAGCTCAGTTGGTTAAATATGGCTCATGGTGAAGAGTAGAAATTTTGTTGCATGCTAGTAAGTTAGTGTGTGTTGTTAATGTGGAAGGAAACACAGAAAACTAGTGCAGATGCTTCACGTGAGCTAGTTCTAGCAGTGCTTTGAGTAAATTTTAAAATATGCATGAAGTATGCCTTGTGATTAGACAGTTATATCATTGAGCCACTAGCTCAACTAGTGGCTCAACTAGTATCTAGCACAACTCAAGATATCTATTAAAATATTTAAAAAAATGTTTTAACCTTTGGTAATAAGTGTTACAAACAACCAAATGACTCACTTCCTTTCCTCTTGTTTCCATTCTCCTTTTTTCCCCCTTTTTAATTTTTCTAAAATTGAAAATTTTAAATTGAAATAGGATTTTGTTAACTTTTATTGAGTATTTTAGAGATACGTAGTCAGAATAACTTTTATTTCCTTTCTAGAAGAAATGGCAACATATCTTCGTTATGTACGAAGGCTAGATTTTTTTGAAAAGCCAGACTATGATTACCTAAGAAAACTTTTTACCGACTTGTTTGATCGCAAAGGATATATGTTTGATTATGAATACGACTGGATTGGTAAACAATTGGTAGGTACTTTATGCTGTTAAAATAAAAGATTATTTATGGTATTTTAATAGTATAGAATATTTCCATTGACGATTGAGAACAGTTTGTAAGGAATTCCTTTTATTTCTTGTTTGGAGACATTTCTTTGGGGTCATCATACTTGGAATTTTATACAAGCTCTGCTACTGAATTTCTTGCTTTTCATAAAAGGGTGATGAATTATTTTGGATCTTCTATCTTAATTCTTTTTTAATATTAAATATGATATTTCTATATAGTATTATGGTATTATAGTATTGCTACTTTTCTATAGTAACTTATGTTCTGCTTTGATCAAGATTAAGAATTTTAAAAGCTTCTGAGTCAAGATATTAAATATCTAATATTGTTATGTAAGTAGTATTTTTAAAATTTATAATAATGTTTTTAATAAGCATTGGATATGAGATTCATAAATAAATTTTTATTTTTAATATGAGAAAGTACCTTAAAAATTAATAAAAACAGTAGAAGACCCTTCCTACATACAAAAGTCAATACACTGAAAAGTGTTAAAATGTCTTAAAAATACTTTAGAAAGTAACTGTGGTCTTTTTACTTTGCCTTAAAAACTTTTATCAATTGCTTGAGAACAGTGTTGCTTCTTGAAGACGTAATTTACTTAGCAATACCATTTATTGATTCATTGATTCTTTTAAGCAGCTAATGAAACTATTATAGATAGACTCCTGAAGCAGGCCATTCCAGCACTAATTGTTGTTTTCTTGTAGCCTACTCCAGTTGGTGCCGTTCAGCAAGATCCTGCTCTGTCATCGAACAGAGAAGCACACCAACACAGAGATAAGATGCAGCAGTCTAAAAACCAGGTTTGCTGTCCTTTGGATATGAAATCTCTACTTTTGTTATTGAGATGTGCATTTTTCTTCAATGGGTCACATTATACACACATGAAAGGATTGAAAGTACTTGTGTTTTCAGAAAGCTTTTAGTTTGCCATTAATTTCAGAATAATTACCATTTCCTAATTCACGCTACGAATTAGTCAAAACCAAACAATGTTTGGTGCTGTTAGGATGGAAGTGTTAAAATTATACCAGCTTTTGCTCTTTCTCTCTGTAGTTAATTCAGTAGGTTATTTATTGAATTTCTGCTGTTGAAAGTGATTTTTTTTTTTTTATTCATGTGTTGAGAAATACAGAGGCAAAAAAGGACAGTCTGTAGAGTGCTTTAAACTGAGTGACTGAGTGGTGCTTAGCTAAGAGCTCACTCGTCCCTGGAAGCAGATGAACATGAATGTGTTTTTACTCTGCATAAATTAGTTTCCTAAACCCTATTTTCTCACCTATAAAGTAGTGGTAATACATGATAACTTCTAGAATATAATTTTTAATTAGAATTCTAATAGAATAAAATAAAATAGAATGTAAATTTATTCTCAGTAAATCTGAACTCAAGGATGCTGTTGTTCTTATGAATTTTACAATAAATGCACAGATAACTTAATTTTGAAGTAGAATAAGCTGTACCACTTGGAGTATATGCTTGGAATATACCACTTGGAAGATATGCTATATGCATTTTCATATCAAATATAGTAAATGTTGTTTCTTGTGATGAACCTACAGAGTAAATGGACTTCTTTTAGGCAAATAATAGAATAAAGACATCTTAAGAGTAGTGAGCAGGAGACAGGAAAAGAGAAGAGAAAAGAGAAAAAAGGGTGGGGAGAGAGAAGAAATACAACAGAAAGGCAAGAAACTAAAAATCAAGAGATTATTTGTTTGAGGAGTATAGGTCAGTCTGATTTGCTTGGAACAGAGCATAAATTAGAGATAAGGTATGTAAGAGTGATTTGAAATACGAGTAAGATTGAGAGTGGAGAGTTCATGTTTCCTGGGGAAAGGCATGGGCAGCTGTTGAAAACTTCAGCAGTTCGTGTCTCTTTTTGCAAGAAGATTCTCTTTTTTATTTAGATTCTATCTTGCCTCTTTTTATTTTCACTTCGTTTATCCCGTTAAAGTCCAAGTAATGGTTAAAACAAGATGGAAACTAAAGGATAAAATACACCATTCATTAAAACATATACCTGGACAAAATGCTCACTTTAGGGCATAGTTAACAATATGTATGGTATAGCTGATTTAGAAAGATTTGGTTTTAGAGTTTGACACAGAAAAAAATCACACATGAAAAGTCTCATGAACTAATTCAACTCTAAGTAGAGTTACTTGATTACTTGAACAATCTGACGAGATAGCTGTGTAAGCAGAGGGCTCAGAAGTTGAGAGCTGGTGTTTCTGTTTTCTAAACTAGAGTTGATTTCTTGGATGTTCCTGGAAGCTTGTCAGTGATTGGTAGTCCCTAAACTCCTATGCCCAAGCTCTTGTAGTAAAAGCTTTGTAGTAAGGGACGCCTTTAGTGTTGAATTACTTTACAACTTAAATACTTTTAAGCTTCTAACTTTCTACTTATCACAGACATAGCTCTTTTAATATAAACTCTCTAAGGGTGGGGCCTGTATTTCCTTTGTAGTTCTTTTTGCCCTAAATGCAGGGAAGATTTTCTATGTATGTGTAATGTTTCAGTAAATCCTTTGGGATAAGGCTGTGTATGGGATTTCAAACCTGAATATACAGTCTCCTCATTAAAGAAAAGTTATGTGCATAGAAAAAGTTCAAAATATCCATGCATCAGTTATGTTTTTGTTTTGTTTTATGACAGACCCCATGGTTCACAGTCCAAAAGAGGAAAAGCATGAGTTCCTTAAAAGGGCTGAGCATTGTAATGACTGCAGACAGAGGCAGTCAGTGGTTGAAGTTCAGGGAGCTACAGTAACATATAATGTGTTAGGTACGTGTTAGTGTGTATGCAGAAAGAGTTCACATAGGTTTTTAATATTTTCTTACAGAGGTCTGTCACCAGCTGCCACAGATATCTGTCTCAGTTTTAGCGTCTTTTTCATTTTCAGATTTGATTTCCTATAATTTATTTAAATGTCAGCTCCCAGTCCACTAATTGTGGCTATGCAGTTAGCGAGTGATGAAAAGACAGAACTCTCACAGTGGTTTTGATGGCAGACTTCATGCCATGGCCTATGTAATTTTGCACTATACAGTTTAATTTAGGAAGCTTTTTTTTCATATCCTTCTACTTACACTTAACGTCTGTTCCATAAAAGGTTACTCTGGCCTCCGGTGTACTTAGGCTTCCTTTAGCTGAGCATACTTGGCACTTTGTGGCAGATTGTGTGGAATTTGCTAGAAGAAGAGAAACACAAGCACTAGAGACTTTAGTTAGTGCATGAGCTTGGTAGCGCTATTGAAGCCGACTCTGGCTGAAATTGCCACTGTGCTCTTAGCTAGGTCTGTGACCTCAGGATAGTGTTGAATGCCAGTGTCTTTATCCATGAAATGCAGATTTTATCTAAAGTTACTAATTCAGAACCAAACTTTAAGAACTCTCCCTTCTGTCGCTGTTTTCTGCGTGTTCCTGAAATAGAGAAATTGCAATTAAGAAGCCATTCTGATATTTACTAGTCTAATACTGGTAACCTATTCTTATTCTCATAGAGATTTACCAAGCGATCTAAGAAACTCCAAAATTTTCAGTCTGTTTCATAAAAGAAGACTCTTTAATTAGAACCAAGCTTTTAAAAAATTAAAGCCACAAAGAGGTTGTGGAATTATGATTTTTAAAAATGTTGTTTTGTTATAGTCTCACAGTATTGTGCATAGTGCTTTTTACTTTTCAAAGACCTTTTCTGTTTTCTCCTGTTACACCTGTAGTAGAAACAGAATACACTGAAAGGGAGGAACATCTAGGATCTCAACCTTTTAAGGTTTTTTTTTTCTTTCTTTTTTTTTCTCACATTGCTAAAAGTAGTTCCTCATGGAAAAGCTCTGCGGACTCTGTAAGACAGTGTGGTGGCCTTCAGTGCGATCATGTCAGTTTATTCCCTGGCTCTTGGATAATTCGTTTATGAACTTGTGGGATCTATGGCTTCCCAAATTCTCTACTTCTAAAATTTTATGGTTCTAATTTATTTTTATTGCTGACCATTCCTCAATTTATCAATAAAAAATCTTTCATCTTCAGAGATAAATAACTATGTATGATTCAGAATAGAAAGGATATTTTAAATTTCCTTTTTTACATTTGTTTGTTTATTATACGGATAAGATGTTTAACATATTGGGTTTTTCTTCTTCCATGCATGCCACATGCATTAAATAAATGGCAGTCGGCAGACCACAGGGCAGCTTGGGACTCTCAGCAGGCAAATCCCCATCATTTGAGAGCTCACCTTGCAGCAGACAGACATGGTGGCTCGGTACAGGTATTTTCTGATTTTTGCATGAGTGATTATTCCCCAGATTTATACAACTAACCTTTTTTTGAGCTCATGGCATGATACTCTATCCTTATGAAAGCTTGTTGCCGAATTCTATCCATAATTCTATTTCTTTGTTACTTAACCAAAACCGAAGTTAATATGGTCCAGTAAGACCACCAGCGATGCTACACTTTTGTGTGCCGTGGTTTATTTTTTGCAAGTACATGCAACAGTATTTAAGTCATATTCACGGCAAGTTAGAAAAAAATGAGTGTGGTTAAGTATGCATTGAGCTAGATTTTTAAGTGTGAAGCTTAATATTTTTATTAATGCTTTAAATAAAACATTTACAAAACTTTCTCCCCTTTTACTGACTTTGCTTCCTTCAAGTTTCATTCATAGATACCTGAACTTTTCATCTGTACTACTTGGAAACATGGCCCTGTTTGCACTGCATTCATAGATACTCAGTAAGCTGTAGTTTCTGCACCTTTAGAGCACGTCCGTTATTTCCTCACTGGAACCCCAGCAGCTGCTCAGCGCTGTCCTGGCCGCCAGGGGTAACTATGTAGGTGTGATTGTGGAGACTGCAGCCTTACAGGGCTTCACAGTGGCTCCTTAAGGCAGTCTAGATACCAGCTCAGAGTCACTGGTGACTTCTCTCTCAGCCTGTTTCACTTTGAAAGCCTTATGTTTTGGTTTTGTTCCTCTGCATATTTCTGCTTGAACAATTTTCCATATTTGATGAATTTTGCATTCTTTTTACTACATTATTATCAACATAATCTATATTGAATCATTATTATTTAAATTTTAAAAATCAGTTCAAAATTAAGTCTTAGGAGCTATCTTATTTTCCTCACTGTTACATTTTAAAGTATGTAACCACCATTTATATATAAAAATTTATAGATTTTTAGTAATATTTTTAGTAGAAATATTTGAAGAGTTATATGAAGTCAGGAGTGACAGACTCAGGCAAGAGTGCCTGAATTCATATCATTGGAGAAGCTAAGTGAGCAGAGTATGTTTAATCTGCATAAAATGTTTACCCATATTTTTGCTTGCTTCTGAGTCCTTTGGTTTGTGCTATGCTACACGTTTTGCTAGTGCTCAGGGATCTGAGATCTGCAACAGCGAAGGCTCTAATAGAAATCTGTCCTGCCATTTATAGGATTACTTTGAATCTGTTTTCCTGGCCTGTTGCTCCTCTTATGTGTTTCCCAGGATGAATTATTTTGCTGTTGTTCCATCACATCAGCAGTTCATGCTGTTTTCCCTTGGAGTTCTTGTACTTTTTTCCTGTCTCTCCCAAACTTTTCAGTCTGTTGAGACTCCTTCCAGCTTCGTTCCATTCTGTGTGATCAGTTTACCCGGTAGAATTCTAGTAGGAGAATGAATGCATACATCAAAATAAGAAATTATGCTATTTTTATTGATTTCTTTTCTCTCCTATCTTTTTTTTTGCATTTTTTCTTTTTCTTTTTACATCCTGACCAGTTTTCCCTTACTCCGCTGTTTTTTCAATCATAAACTGACTTAATACAGTAAACATTTTCAAAAGTTTAATGAGTAATTTACTAACACCTCAAGTATGTCAATGTCAGAATCTTATCCCATTGCAAAATAAAGAATGTGTTTAATGCATTTGCAAATTATCTTATGCACATTCAGAATTACTTGAATTATTATGATTATATATACTTAGACTAATGAAAATGTAAATTAAAGCTAATGAAATGAAAGGAAAGTACCTAAAGGCTAACTACTGTGATTATTATAATTGAGTACTATAGCTGATCCTAAATCAGGATAGAAAGGGAAGCAATGTGTTATTCTCATGGTCTTATAAAGGGAAGTGGTGTAGAGGTTTTTAAGAATTCGTTTGTTTTGGCCCCTTGAATGATCAAATGGTGTGTGTGTGTGTGCACGCGTGTGTATAAAATCTTAGCACATTAGGCAAGAGCTCTAACATGATGCTGAAGATACTGGGAAAACATAAAGAGGATTATGTAAAGCTAGTCATGGTGGTGCATGCTTGTAACCTCAGCCAGAGACAGGACCCCTAGGAAATCTAATCAGCTAGACTAACTGAATTAATGAGCTCTGCAATCAGCAAAAGACCACTTTCTCAACAAAGAAACTGGAGAACAATTGAAAAGATACCTGATGTCAGCTTCTGGCCTCTAGATATGTGGGAAATATATATACAGTCATGCACACCACCCTCATACATGCGAAACACACACACACACTCTATTGTCTATGTCTATCTCATTTTCCTGGTTTGTTAATTTGGTGGTGTGTATTTGTGATGGTTACATAGGTGGCTGCTATGAATACTTGGTCAGTAAGCATAGGTGCTCAGGTATCTGTAGTATTCTAACTCAGATTCCTGTGGGTATATACTTAGAAATGGTACAGTTAGATCATGTGCTAGTTCTATTTTTGATTTTTGAAGAACATTTATCTTGATTTTTACATTGGTTGCACTACTTCACTGGCCCACTAGAAGAGTATAAGGGTTCCTTCCTCCCAACCCCATCCTTACTAGCTAATGCTTTGGACTTTTGCTTTCTTTTTCTTTTTGTTTTTTTAAGACATGGTCTCACTGTGTGGACACAGGCCAGCAGCCTCAAACTCTCAGAGATCTACCTGCTTTTGCCTCCACCCTGTCTGGCCTTGTTTACTTGATCCTAGTGGGTTCAACTCAAGATGAGATGGAGTTTTGATGTGCTTTTCAGTCACTGTTCCCTAACAGCTAAGGATTTTTGGTACTTTTCCTACGTTTATTAATCATTTGTATTTTCTTGTTTTTAAAAATGTATTAATTTGTTTATTGATAGAATGATATGAGCTTTTGGTGCTTAATTTTTTTAGGTTTTTTAAAATATTGATTCTAGATACTGATTCTCATTCAGATGCATAATTAACAAACATTTTCTCCTGTAGGCTGTTTCTCTACTCTGCCAATTTTCTTTTCTATACAGAAGACTGTCAGTTCTTGGATGTTTATTTCTTGAACTGTTTTCCCTTTCTTTCCTTGTGCAGTTTCAGGGCTTTAGATTTAATCCATTTTAATTGATTTTTGTGCAGAGTGATTGATATAGATCTATTCTTATTCTGCATGCAAACAACCAGTTTTCTGAGCACCGTTTATGGAAAAGGCTGTCTTTACCCCAGTGTCTGTGGCTGTGACTGTGTGCGTTCATTTCTGGACCTTTTATTCTGTCCCATTGGCTTGTGTGTCCGTGTTCATGCCAGCACACTGCTGTTTTTATTACTAATCTTTGTAGTATAATTTGACGTCTCTACCCCCACCACTGCTCTTAATGCCTGTGATTATTGTGGCCATTTGAGGCCTTCAAGCTTCCATATGAGTTTATAACTGTTTTCTCTTTCTGTCTAGACTGTCATTGAAATTTTGTTGGAGATTACATTGAACTTGCAACATTTTTGGTCATATAACCATTTTAATAATACTGCTTTTGTGAATTTATGATTATGGGAATTCTTTCCATTGTCTATAGCTTCTTAAATTTCTTTATAAATTTTTTTATTGTAGTTTTTCATCTTTTTGCTTAGTTTTATGACTGGATATTTTTGCTTTGAAGCACTTGTGAATGAAATTTCCCCCCCTTTTTTTCTCAACAAGTTTGTTATTGTATAAAAGAACTACTGATTTGAGTGTGGATTATGTACCCTGCTACATTGCTGAAATTGTTTCACAGTCGTAAGAATTTCTACTAGAATCTTTGAGGTCTTTTGAAGTATAGAGGAACTCTGTTGTCTGCAAATGGGGGTAATTTGATTTCTTCCTTTCCTGTTTGTATGCTTTTTTATTTATTTCTATTCCTGTATTGATCTATCCAAAACGTTAAGCGTCGTATTGAATAGAAGTAGAGTTACCAGACATCTTTATCTCATTCATGATCATGTTTAGAGGAAATGTGTTCAGTTTTTTCAATTTAGTATAATGTTTGGTATTTATAATTTTTATGATGTTGAGGAATGCTCCTTCTATTCCTTGTTTGTTCAGAAATTTTATTATGAAGAGACGCAGAAATATGTTAAAGGTCTTTTCTACATTTAGTAAGATTGTCATGTGATTTCTTTTCCCAAGTATATTATGAATAGTGTTGCATTTATTTTATATGTATATAGTAAATCTTTCATACATTTCCTGTAATGAAGTAAATTTAATCATGGAATATTCTTTTTAGTATTTTTTCAATTCAATTTTGTAAGTATTATATTGATAATTTTCACATGTATGTTTATCGAGGAAATTGATTGACACTTTCCTCCTTCTGTTGTTTCCTTATCTGTTTTTGGTATCTGTAATATTTTCTTCAAAAATTAATTTGGGATAGTTTTCCTTCCTTTTCTGTTTTAGAAAAGTATTTGAGAAACACCAGTGTTCGTTTGTTCTTAGTCCTGGGAGAATTCGGCAGTGAGTCCCTCCAGTCCTGAGCTTTTCTTTGTTAGGAGACTATCACTGCTTCTGTCGTGTTGCTTATTTATGTTGTTTAAATCCTCCTGATTTAATTTTTGTAGATGGTACTATATAAATATAATTTACTCATTTCTTCTCGACTTTCCGTCATTTTAAAATAGAGGTTTTCAGAGCATTCCCTAAGGATTCTCTGGATTTCATTGTTATTGTGATGTTCACCTTTTCATCTCTAATTTTACACTTTTGCTCTTCTGTCTCTTTGTTTTGATTAATTTGGCTAAAGGTTTGTCAATCTTGTTTATATTTTCAAAGAAGCAACTCCTTTGTTTCATTGATATTTTGTCTCATCCTCCTAATCCCTTCTTTTATTACTTCTTATCTCAGCTGAGTCTTCTACCCCATGGATGTTTAGTTTGTTTTCTTGATGGAGTCCTAGAATTCTTTCATGTTGTTGTCATGCTCGCTTATTTTTTCTTCATTTATGTTTGAATGTAGTATTTCTTCAGCCTTCCTCTGATCTTTCTCCAGCTTTCCCTGGTCTCTGGTG